TCTGCAAACCTGTTTTACTGCGGTCTTTTGTGCTCCGGAGACGTTCAGCGCTCTTCACCCGTTTATTTAAATGCGCTTACATAGCAGTTTGATATGACCTAAGGGGAACCACATTTTTCACCTACCAAAACCTTTTTTAGGTCGCTTCGTGGGGCACAAAATAAAGCACTCCGCACACTCCACTTGTCGCGAACTCAGCGGAGAACATCTCTCGGCCTTGACAGTTGCAGCAAGCAGGGAACAAAACAAGAACGTTTCTGTGATAACAAATTTCAAGCACACGTGATCATCGGAGTCCAAGGTAGCATTTAGGTCATAGTTGACCAATATACTAGGTTAACCTTACTTATGATACCATTCCATCACTTGGCAAAGTGCGAACTTGTATCAATACTAGCTCAACGAGAGTGGAGTCACATGGACTCCAGCGTGGAAGGCGAGACGGGCCGACGAAACCGCGTTTGTTCCTCAGGGCTTTCATTCTTCGCTGCGAAGTCAACCGTTGTCCACATTGAGCCTTGCGCCACCCTACATCTGGCAGACTAAACAAGGCCTTCCTCGGTAAGCGGTGACCAGACATACGTAGTTTGTGCCCAAGCCAACGCAGCTTTTTCAGTGCTATGCTGTTCTAAGGAACTAGCTTGGTTATCACTGCTTAGTGCCCGCCTTATTCTTGACTCGAGACTTTACAGGACATGGCTAGCAGTTGACACCAGTGGCGCGTCTGCTGCCGTCTCTTAGTCGGACTGCTTGTTTAGTTGGTGTTTGGCGTTGAGTTATCTGTGGGCTAATGGCTGGTTATGACGCGGGGCAGTGAAAGGCGAAAGTAAGCCTTCTCGCCGATGCCACCTTATCTTGACATGGCAGTCAGCTGTTTGTGACGGCATGTTGTTGACAAGGTGTAGACGTCTTGACCCTGAATGTTTACTTACTTTGGCTTTTCAGATAAGTTCTCCTTCTGTCCCTCTTATTCTTTTTCGTTCCGTAGGTCATCATGGTTGTATGGCAGCGCAGCATCACCTCAAATGACTGAAGTACTGCTGTTGATGATGATGACAACGGGAATGGAAGGCAACCTGACTTTCACTATTTTCGTTCTTTTGAGGACCAGTCAGCCCTTGTGGTACAATGCATGTTGCCGATCTGAAAGTAGCGGCAGTATGGCTGGTTCTACGTTGCTTTTCGCTGGCTTGCCGAACAACCTCCTCGTGGTACCAGCTGGGTGGTGCGGGATTTTCACGTTCCAGCAAATGGTTCGGCGGCAGTGTTCCAGGACGTGGTGGGTTTTCGCTTGGCAAGCGTTCTCCCTATAAAAAGCCACATATGTCCGTTTAACTACACTGTGACGTGGCGGACGTGACTCGCCACTAAATAAAGTCACTGCCCCTTGCTTCATCCTGGCGAAGCATTGTATTCCAGCAAATTTATGCTGTAATTCTGGGGAGCATTGGACCCCTGCTTGACAAAGGAACAAAAGAAAGGTATATGAACTGAGTAATCAGTCACCGGCTCCCAATGGGCGCGATTCCCTGAATTCGCTCCACTGCCTTGCGGACAGGCTATTCAGCTAAAGGCTCGGGGTGGTGTCCCCGAAGTTAACACCCTACTTCGGCTTGAGCAACCGGGTAGTATCTCGCCCTCTGAGGAAACCATGGACATTGTTGTGTTGCGCTTCCTTTTACTATTTCTGTACCTTCGTTTGAATTCCATGGTTTCTGATGGCATTATGTCTATTCGTAGACTTTTGCAAATATATATATATATATATTTCGCGTAACGGTTTAGTTTTTTCCATGGTCTGAGAAGACGGTTAACGACCACCTACCTGTTCTGTTCCCTTTCACAATTCCATCTAGAGTTAAATTGGAACAGTTGCTTCAGCCGTTCCTGGATCGTCACCTATAACCGAGAGGATTTATTGTATCTAGGTACTTTGCCCAGCTTTAACGCTCCAAGTTCATGGCAAGTTTCCTCCATCCTGAGAACCGTGACGTCAACATCGCGAAAGGGTTCAGGTGTCTCAGCTGGCACTGGTAACCCCGATGACCTGCCAAATTGTTCCACGTAATGCTCCACTCCGCTTTGAGGTCATAGAGTCTGGGCGGGTTTTAATCTATCGTCTTTTTCAATTATGTTTTCACTCCTTAGGGCTTTCCTAGTGGTTTGAAACGACATCCAACTGTTCTTGAAGTCACAGGTTTTCTCCGCTTTACAGACTCTAGTCATCAGCCAACATTCTCGATCAGTCTCACAGTGTTGCCGATGTCTTGAAAATACTCGCTTGCGGAAGCCATTACACCCGCCTCACGCTCTTCGCAGACCCACCTACGGTTCAGAGATAAATCAACCCAACTGGAGAACCGGTTTCTGTTATATCTTTCATTGCGTATTGGGTGCCGGTCCATTCGTTATCCTGTCCATTTTCTCCATTCATCGATATCAATGATGTCCCGACCGTATTCACTGAGCTTATTGGAAGACTGAGTTCAAGTCATGAGTAGCCAGTCCCCACGTCAGATTTTTCTTGGCGATTGTGTGTCATGTGGGTGCCTTTTGCACCATGATTAGAGTCAAGCTGGATGCTCAAGATCAACCGACAATTTTTCGCTAACATGCGCCATCTGTAACTGGTGGTGATATGGTCAATTTGGATGCGGTATGCCACTTCTATAGTTGACCATCAGGGTTGACAATGCAGACCCTTGTGCTGAGAAGCAGTGTCATCCGCATGAGATTTCTAGATTGTCTGTACTTAAATGCCTTTATCAGAATTGTCAATGCGACGGGGATCAAGTCTGAAACGACTCCTTCACACTCTGTCTATGCATAAATAGCCTACCTGAGCATTCATGCTAAGTACTGCGGTCACAATGTCTATATTTTCAGTTGGCAGTATTTCAGTGAACAGCCAACAGCGCCCCACCGACTAAAGATTGTCGACTTAGACATGCATGCGAAGTTTCATTTGACGCTACTTATTCTTGGCTATTGCATATACCTTAGCAGATGTCATTTGGTACGCAGGCTAACCGTTTCAAACAGTTCTAGTCATCTGGATTGTGAATACAGGTGTAAGCCCTCTGTGCTGCTCAACAGCTCGGCTAGGTGAGATGTTCGAACCCATTTTCAACTGACGTGTGTTGTCCGACTCCATTGCAATTGTGTAAAATATGAAAAGATGCATCGGCTGTACGCCGGCATGCCGTACCGACGCTTCGCTGCCACGCGACCCGAACTAGTCGTGCATGGGATGTGTGTATTGCCAGGTTGCCCGCACCTCTACGTAAATTCGAACCAGCAACTTTCGAATTGCAAAGCAGGAACCTTCCTCTTTCGGCCACCGACCGAGTGTCTGTAGCACAGCAAGTATGCGCCGAATGCTGATGACCCTAGTAACACAGCTGGTTGATATCTTTAGCTTCTGGACATTGATGAACCTAGACAGATCATAGGGTTATAATTTCCACTTGGTATGCTTCAATCTTGGACTGTTTTCGACCGGTGGCCGAGTGGTCTGGACGTTTGCTTTGCAACCATAAGGTCACCGGTTCGAATCCGCGTAGGGGTGGGCGTCCTCGCGGTATACTCAGCCCGCGCGCGACTGGTGGTGGTCGCGCGGCAGCGAAGCGCCGTTACGGCGTACAGCTGACACATTATTATTATTATTATTATTATTATTATTATTATGTTTTCATTTTGAACGTGTGTTTTAACTCTGATCATACTCTAATACATTACTAAACTTGCTCACGTTTTGCCTGAAGTTGAATCTGTCTGGTTTTTCGATTAGCAAACACTGGTTGCTTTACTCCTTATTCGAGAAAATCTACCTTTGCGCTTTGCAAGCCGAGCTTTTATTTTCACCCTCTGAAAGTCTATATTGTTCTCCGCCGTGTTCTCCTACCTCGTTGGCGTTTGTTGTGCAAGTCTCTGTCCCTCCCTATCCTGCTTCTCTTCTCTCCAACTACGATCTCACTCTTGAAACACTATATGTTACTGAGCGTCATATTAACCCGCTTTTTGTATTCTATAATGTTTTTTTCACATCTATGTTACATTTTTGTATTGCGACACAATAGTTGAACTGTTTCTCATCATCAGCTAACCTGTATTGATGATGGTAATGATGTTATTATGCTCTGAAACGGAAATCCAGGACCAGAGAACAGACAACTTTGTGGCTAAGATTGGCTGTGTAGATCGTGATTTTTGCTGTGTGACAGGTGCGAACGTTGCCTCATGTGCCCAATTTCGATGGTTGCTGTGCTCCCGGATTTTGCAAATGCATTCGGCTTAGTTGCTACCATCCTTCTGTTTCACCTGCTTGGTTGGAAATGCGATTCTACGAAAAATGTTGACATTTGACGTTTCTTGTCTTAGAGCACCTCCGATTGCATCAGGTACTTCAAGTTACCGAAATCTCTTTCGGAAAATACGTTTTCCGGATCTTTCCCATCCTCCTATTTGTAAGCCCTCTTGTTGCGAGCTTCATCGTGATGTATAAACCGGATGATCCCCACTGTATTAGTGACTGTCTTCTATATCTTGTCTCATTAGCGGTTTTATTCCTACCGCTCTATGGTCGTCTCGCATCGGGTCGCCGTACGAATTGCTAATTTGCTATGACATAGTGATGGTGGTTACTGCTTAGGGCCGCGTCACCTTACACGTAGCCAGTTTCTTCGTCCCTTAAAACTTTGAACGTTACATCGGTGAGGTGCGTCTACCTCACCCCATACTGCAACTTTACCCACCGACCTGTCTTTCGCTATCGACTACGACTAAGATCGTAACTCGTGGCTCATTGTACGGAAATCACACACTCCTACTTATGTGTAGACTCCCACAAATCCATTGTATACCATTGCCCGTTAAGCCTCATGTGTTTCAATGCATTTTTACATTATATATATATATATATATATATATATATATATATATATATTCTGCATTACAGCGTACCACCGTTATGTGTGTGCTCTCTACCTTTGCTTCTGCAGTCCGCCTTACCTGACACATCTGTCACCAACCGGTCCGATGCTTGGCACTCACCGGACATACACATCGACTATGCTCAGATAGATCCACCGAAACCCGACTGGCTCCATCGCTTACAAGATCTGCCGCCTATTTACGGGCAAGTCCTGATGGCCACCACCAGAAGGTAGGTTGCGCTGCCGCAACTCTTTACCGTGATGTCGCTTTTGATTCAGCTTCCACTACTCATTTTCTGTCAACAGCATACTTCATATTGGTTGCCTTCGAGTGTATTACAGTAACTGCTGTTTCTCTAGATATATTTCTTTCTATCATCAACGTAGATCCGGCTCGTTGCCTTCAGGATCACAAATTTGCTTTGTAATCCAAAGCTAACGGGCTCGATCTTGCGTAGGGGACCGGATGACCCTCACAATATCCTTAGCTTACGCGCGACTAGTAGTGGCGGCACGACAGCAAAGCGTCGGTATTGGGTACCGGCGTACCGCTGATGTCCCACCCCCTCAGATTAGAGAAATCAGCAGGTACTAGATCTATTGTCATTCCATCGTATCGGTGGCACGGTGGGTTATTTGTGCACGATAGCATGGGTTCTTTCAGCAAATCGACTTGTACTTACAATGAACAAACGGTGTACTCCGTAAGCGACTGATTCGCTTCGGGCTCGAGCAACTTGTTAACTGCCGGGTCAAACTAAGACAAGGCCGGAAAGTTAACAACGGTATCATTAAAATATGTATCAACATGCAACAATCATATACCTCAACACTACTTGTTCATTAAAGAAACAACCGGGTTTTTACAAAGCACGACTATATGCAAAGCACCGTACTCTGCAATGTACAGCAAGATCGCAAAAGCCATAGTCCGCGAGCGGAATCCCGCGGCCCTTTTATTGGTTCACACAGCCCCATCCAATTGATTCGCTGGACAGTGCATAGAGGGATGCGATGCGTTGGGTTCCTTGGGTAACTTCAAGGCGGTGGGAGTAGTGTTTCGGGGCAAATATGGGATGAGGGAACAGCAATGGCGGATGTTCCCCTGTGACTTTAGATTGAATCAATGCCGGCATGTGTGCGTGTGACCCCTGAGGCGAGTATGAGTCGATTCTGGCATGTTGTGTGACCCCTGGATAAGTTGCACAATTTGGTAGCGAGCAGTTTTAAACGGGTCTTGGAATGAAGCCATAGGAGCATCGAATATGAAGACACAGGGAGCAAGCCAACTAGTTGGTAGGCCGAAGTTCAATAGATGGCGCAAGTATCAGAGTAATATCCTGACAGTCATCTTTCGAATTACCTGGTAATTTTACTGGTTACATGCTCAGACAACTTGAATACGCAATCAATACTCCATGGCGACAGGATATTATGGAAGAAAGATTTCACACCCAATATATCCTTGACTCTTTCTGAGAAGTACATTTCGGCGAGATCATAGGTAAATCAGAACCTCAAAACACCCTTGCTACCAGGGCAAGCATGCGTTGAGTACATATTCTTTTCACATTTTTACTGCGATAACTTAACATCTATCAGTACGACTCCAACTCGATCGATTGTTCTTTATCTTTAAACTTGTTTGCACCTTCTCGTCCTCACTCATTTTGACCCCATGGGAACCTAGGATTAGCTGTCTCCAGTCGTTCACACTGATTAATGCTGAGCAACACTATCCGGTTTTTCCCTCCATATACACAACTTTCACTTTAAATTGGACCTTTCGCAACAAAATCAATGGTTTTGCAAAACAAACTGGACGTTTTGCAAACCCAATTGGACACCTTGCATTCGAATCAGAAAATCAGCAAGTTTGTATCAAGAAATGAGGCGTGAGCTGACTCGGCGATATTCAGAGCACATTGTAGTCATGTTAGGGCACCTGACTTATGCAAGCAGCGAATGTCACTACAATCCCTTTTCTTGATCGTGAACCTCGACTAAAGCAGTGGCCAGTTTTCCCCCTCTCTCCACACCGACCTTCGCGTACTTTGTGCGCCTGCAACTGTACGCATGAAGCTGTTTAGCTGTACGACTGTAGGAAATTCAGACTCCCCATTCGCGTAGTCTCTTTCTCAAACAAATGTTACCTAGCCTTGAACAGTCATTGTGAAGCACTCGTTTTGTGAATGAGTTGTGATGCGTTATCTCTATGTGGACCGATTCCCATTGCAGTAAACCTTGGGCAGTTCGATTAGTGGGACCGTAACTGATGAAGCAGATAGGCAGTGACCAAGTCTAAACCTTCTGTCTATAGGTCTTCGCGTATTTTGTGTAGGTGTGTTGGCGAACCTATGCAACTACGCGACTATTGGCACAGAGTACGCTTTCATGACTGCACCAAAGGCAGTCTATCTTTATTGGCCTATTACTACAATTTGTTATAAAAGAAAGCGGGGAGTACTGCGACTAGACGATGTCTAGGCCACATTGTGGTCACGTGAATGCAACCGAACTGTGCAGGCATCAGGCGATTGTGCCAGCCTTTATTCTGATCATGCGTGTCGTTCACTATTATCTAAGCCGACCACCCAGTCTTCTCCTGTCCTTCTGTGAGCCTTCGCCTATTTTGTGTGGGTGTGTAGGCGAACCTATGCAGTTACTCGACTATTGGAACAGTGTATGCTTTCACGACTCCATCAGACCAATATAGCCTTATTAACCTTGTGCTGCATGAAACGACCTAAATGAGCGACAAACGACGAGGGAACGGATCTCCGAGGTAGCGGAAGGCGAGAGGGCATCAACACAGCACAGATGTGGAGGAAACAACAGGAAGAAGCTAACTCCCGATGTCCGGCAGCGCGTTGAAGAGACCGCTGAACGGCATTCTAAGGACACTTTGGTGCAGCTGCAACTACCGGGTTCCGTCCATAGCAGCCATCGAAGCTAGCTCTCTCTAACTGGAGCAGCCCGGAGAAGATTGGCGGTATGCCGCCTGCAGCCGATTGGTTAGCCAATGAGAGTAAGCCAATGGTATCGTTTTACCATGAACTGGACGAATCAGAATGATCTTCCTTGAAGCCCTCCAGTAAGCACACTACTTGATCAGCCAACAATCGAGTTTTTGCGCATCTAGTAGTTGCTATCGTCAAGAACTTTCACTTAGGTCTTTCTCTCATGAATTCTTTATTTTGACCACATTATGTCTGTACATTCTGTCTCCCGAGTGCTTCATACAAGTTCCGCCAGAGGCCTTTGTCTTCTGATTTGGAACGTGGCTGTATCGGTTATCCGTACTATTAAGGGAAACACAACATGAACAGCGGCTGAGATAGAACGGTATCCACTTTTCCACGTCTATGAACTTTAATGTCTTCAGAAGGGAAAAGTTAACGCTCAACTAATGTCCCTACTAACTAGACCGCATCAACGGTACCACGTCAATGGCAAGCCGATACACGCACCGCATGATAAAGAGAATTTCATCTTCATATAAGGGATCGGGTTCAAAATGCATCTGAAAGGGACGAAGGCTAGCTCATGAAAGAGGATAGGCGCGAACGCCCTCTTGCCTGCTCTGAGGCTGACGTTTATTGTGGCAATTAGTAACCAAGGCATCGCCCGCTTTCAGGATCATCGACAATGGAACCTACAGTGGTGCAAAGTTCTCTATATTCGTCGAGTTACTTGTGGAGCGTATGCGCTACCGAGTGGAGATGAACTGTGCATGTCTAATTATGGACAACGCCAGGATCCACATGCCGGATGATCTAAGGAGAATGCTGCGCTTGTCCCATTAGCTGAAGTTCCTGTCGCCATACTCATACATGCTGAACTAAGCAGAATGTATGTTGACATTGAAAGCGTCGATGAAACGCCTCCTGATCAACCCGACACCTGACCAGTCGCTAAGTACGGTCATTCAAGAGAGCGTTGGTTTGGTAATCCAGCAGGACTGCACGAGTCGTGTCCTCAGTATGATGCTGAACCTGACAAACGCAGCAGTTAAACAGCGCTTAAACTGTTACTACTTGCTTTATTGTTAATTCATCCCTTTCATTTCAAACTGCAATTTTAAGTCACAATTGCCGAAGTTATCATGGAGGAGTAGGACATGTATCGAGAGGTAGATAGCCTAGGCCTACCAAGTTGCGTATGTCGTGGCACTCTTAACGAGGTCTAGTTCGTAGTGACACTACTTGAGCGTTGTGTTTTGCCTTCTGAAGACGTTAAAGATCGTAGTAATGGAAAAGTTGGTCCCGTTCTCTCACAGCCGCTGTTACAGCTGCACCAAAGTGTCCTTAAGATGCCGTTCAGCGGTCTCTTCTACACGCTGCAGGACATCGGGAGTCAGCTTCTTCCTGTTGTTTCCTCCACCTTTGCGATGTGTAGGCATTGTAGGCACTGTAGGCATTGATAATATTTCTTTTTTTCCTCGTGTTGACATCGGTGACTTCAGAAACTCCGTGGGTGGTTTCGCCGTCGACAAACACAAACTTGGTGAAGATCTATTTTTGTCGATGACGTTCGCTTGTACTGCCGCTGCCTCGGCGATCAGTTTTCCTAGGAATGCGATTAACCTGAACCACCCAGCTGGCACCACATATAAGGTACTCTGCGAGCCAGCCGAACTTAACATTTGAGTATCTGCAGGGATAGCGCCTGTGCCCAAGAAGGAGTCCCAAAATTATCCTTCAGTTCCATGTACCTTGGTGATGTTGAAGCTGTTCGAGAAACTATTAATCCTTCAGATTTTCACACGCACCCATGTAGACAACGTGTGGTTGGCGGCATCCGGTTCCGGATTTGCCTGTCACTGTGGACTCCATAGAACAGCCACAGGACGCCTACGCTTACAGAGGGACCATGGGTGGCTTGCACCGCATCACCCACAGCTCCATCCACACACTCAATATCCAGAGTAAACCTGGAAGAATAAGACCAGGAGACATGTAGATGGGATCCACGTTTCATCAACGGAACCCGCCCACTCTCCTTCCACATGCACAGCAGCATCATTCCTGTGTATCTCATTTGGGATTCATGCGTACCCGACGTACACAAGACGGTGGCTGTGCGGTAGTCCGCTCCACACTAGATGGAACCACTCTTTGAGCCTAGCACGGCCACGAGGACCGTGCACCCCCTAGCAACGATTAGCAGTCTCCTGGATCCAGCATAATTAAGGTAGCGCTTTTTGGACAGCTAGGCACCTTGTCAACAT